AGATCTGTCCTTCACTGAGAAAGGATGAAGTGTGTGCTGCAGGAGGCTCTGGCCATAATTCCATTTTAGAGAATATATTTTCAGGTTCCTGAAAGGCACTGGCTGGAGTAGAAGCTCTGTGAGTGATGATGTGTCTGTGTGAGAACACCTCCACCGCTCCTGTGAGATGTAAAACCAGTGGTGCTACTGCTTCCACCCCCTTTGAGAGGCTGCCCTTGGCTGATTTGGGTCAGATTTGTTATTTTAATAGAATCCTGCTGTGCAGTGTAGTAGGATAATGGGATTGTTTGTCTTTCCTATTGTGCTCTTCATCAATAGAGTTTTTTTTTCCTGTGGATACTAAAATTTCCTCTATTTTAGAGGTGAGGAGTTGTTGCAAAAAGAGGTGACCAGGGACAGAGGCAGAGACAGGAGCACATTTGCCTCCAGACTCCTGTTCTCTGTATTTCCCAGTCCCTTAAAGCTAAAGAATGACCAAACCATTTGAAAAATATCAAAATATCAGCTCTATTAGAAAAACAGTCAATAGATCATCCTGCTCATTTATCCCCATAGTATCCATCTGCAACTTATTAAAAGAGCCTAAAAGTGAAGCCCTCATTCACCACCTCATTTTTCTTCCCCTTTTGTTTGTTTGCCTGCTTACTTGCCTGGGAATTTGTTACACAGAGCCCTGGGAATGTAGAATGTACTGTTAAAATAAATAAAAATGCCCTCTGAGTGCACAGATCACTCCTGAGATGGTGCCTGCTGGGCAGCCCTGCACTCCGGGGTCACAGGGCTCCAATTCTGGAACCTTTTCACCCAAAACTCCTTGAAGAGCTGTGGGATGAGTCCTAATGAAGCTGTAACGTGGATTGTGGAATGAGGGACCTGGAGGTTTTCAGGGGCACAGGAGCACTGCAGTGTCTGCAGGTGAATATTCAGTGTGTGAGCAGGATTGCCCTCTAATTAATTTCTCACCAGCTCAGGACATCTACATTCCTCTGCCAGTGGAAATAGAGCTTTTTGTTATTATTGTTCAGAAATGAGTATAACTTTGAGCTTCATTAAAACCAAATGTTTAATTGCACTCACAGATCTCAGGTTTATCAATTTACTTAATTTCCCCTGTATAGTGCAGCAGAATAATATATAATAGTTTCATATAGTGCTGTCCCAGCCAAGTTTTGCTTCAGCATCACAGTTTCTCAGACAAGTATGTGTTGATGGTTTATGTTGGCAGGACCTGTGCTTCTGCTGACAAGTTGGAAAAGAAAAATCCCATTTATATTTTGAGATTTCCTAAAGCCTGTTGATTTATGAAATACGACTGGCCTCGCTTTAGGTTTTGTTTTGGTTTTCCTTTTTAAGAGGAAAAAAAAATTATATTTGATTTTATCGACAGTTTAAAAAGTGGAATTATTCCATTAAATTACCTTTCCCTGATTGAGAGATTCCTGGCAATGTGGAGTTATGTGAGTTTTAATTTCTGTTTGAGACGTGGAGAGCTCTCCCATCCCATGCAGACATTCCCAGGTATCCACATGGCTCAGAAGGGAGGACAGGAGGCAGAACCCCTGAGATTCTGATCTCCAGGGTGGGCAGCAGGGATGTGGAGCTGCTTGGTCTGGTGCTGACCCCAGACACGAGCAGGGACAAACCCTGTGCAGAGCTGGAGTCAGATTTAACCCAGGCTCAGGACCACACTGGAGCTGCTTCCAGTTGGCCTGGAGCCTGGGAGTTGATGTCTGGACGTGCTCTTGGGATGGATATTTTCCCTCCCTCTCTGCTACCAGTGATGGAGGAGACAGAGGCAGAATTTCAGGTAGGCTTGGGGTTGTCTCTTGGCTTTCCTGCCTGCCTCTTTTGTAAGTCTTTCTGACTTCCCAGCATCTGTAGCTTTGGGACCAAGGAAAACCCAGAATTAGACACCTGACACTAAAATTTGAATGCTTCATACTGCTTTTTTCCTGCTCAAACATTTATAATCCTGGGAATTCTGGTAGTCCTTTGTCTGATAGAAATCCCACAGACTGGCCTTAAGGACTTGCTGAAATCTCTTTAAGGTTCTTTGTATAATTTTTGCTTGGGGATCTGCAGTTTAATATGCCATTTGCCACATTAATATTTTATTTGCCACAGTGGAAAACACAACATTGTTTAGGATTAATGGCTCCTGAAAAACAGAAAAGTTTCTGGGAACGTGGGCTGGTTCAGGAGTGTGGGAGAACCCTGCTGAAGAGGGAGACACAGAAATGCTGGAGGAGTAACAGAAGCTTCTTGGAAACACCTGATGAGAGTGGAAGGAACCAGTAGCTATAGATTTATTTTATTTGCATCAAATTCTCAGTCCTGAATGACTGGTGGGTATTGTTCACACACACAAAAAATAAAAAAGAAAGGAACCATAACTCTTGACTCGTTACATTTTTAAGGTGCTGTGCTTGGCACTGCACGATGGGGGAAAAAATGCAACTGTAGGAAAAGAAAATTAGTCAAAACCAGAGAGCTGGCCAAGAAAATTCATATTTGATATTCATTATCTTATTACAGATGGTTACAAGCCAAGTGCTGATATTCTGTAGGCAGCACTCAAGGGATAAGTGTGCTTTAAATGAAAAGTCTGGTTTTCTTTCTGCCAAATCTGCAGATTTTCCTTCTCCTGGGATTGCTCCACAGGCAAAGGGAAACTGTCCTTAAAGGCCCACACTGTCCCTTGGGATGGGAATCAGGCTGGTGTGCTCAGGAAAAACCCAAATTTATCATTCTGGGATCTGATCATTCCTCCATACCCTCAGCAGCTAAAGGAAATGAGGGGTAAAGAGATAGTTATTTAGTTATTTTTAAATAAATGGTTAATAAGTTATTTTTAAAGAAATGCTTATTTAGTTCTTCTTAAAGAAATGGTTATTTAGTTCTTTTTAAGGTAATGGTTAATTAGTTATTTTTAAAGAAATGGTTGTTTAGTTCTTAAAGAAATGCTTATTTAGTTCTTTCAGACAGAGGTTGGGTACATGAGGGATACATTGGAAATGTGGCATTGATGTGGCACATTTTGGATTGGAACCCCTGAAAACAATATCTCACTTTAAAATATTAAAAAAAAAATAAAATTGAGAGAACTCTACCCAGGATACAACTAAGTCTCTCCCTTTGTATTGTAAGTAACTAAAGAAAATTGTTCAAGCTTCTAATTTTGAAAGTGAATGTTCTAAGAAGGGCAAATTTGGCATTAAAAATAAACCCCTGCATGCTTTTTTGTTGTTTCTGAGTTGTCAACACAGGGAGCTAGCTGGTCAGGCTGGCCCATTTCACAGAGTGACTAATGGACTCCTGCCTCCAAAATTAAACGATTAATTGCACAAGGCCAAGACAACAATCCTTATTTGATTGTGCTGATTACAGGGCTGCTGGTTTTTGGAGTAAAGCGAATATTTTTGTCCTAATTTCCTAAATCCTCCAAGGAGTGAGGCAGCTCTGACAATAATTCAGAGCTGTGGGGTTGCTCAGATCACGGGGTGACCTGCCCGAGGTGTCTCTTGTGTCAGGAGGTCGTTGGGATCCTGGCTGGAGCTGCTGGGATAAATCAGTCCAGCCTTCCCAGCCCTGATCCATCACTCCCAGCTGCTGGGTGATGGGTGGACCTGTCTCACCTGCTCTGCCAAGGGGCCTGAGGAAGCTGCAGATGAATTATCAGAGCCTGAGCTTTGGTTCAGGGCAGTAAAACAGGCTCCTGGGACTGCTGTTGGGCAGATTTTGACATCGTGCCTTTCCAGGCTGCTTTTTTCTCTTGGACTTTTAGCTGTTCCAGTCACCAGGAAATTGTCTCTTGGCTTGGCTGAACTGGTGTTAATGGTGCTCTGAAGCAAAATTGTGCAGTCAGCTTGGAATTAATACTTCAGTTAATTTGTTAGCAGACTAAAGACTTTGAATTTCTTCCTCATATCTTCCTAATAATAGGGTAACTTAGGGAGCTTTTTCCTAATAATTATGATTTTACTTTTAAATTGGTTTCATAGTATCATTAACCTGCTTTTGGGTCCTTTTTCTCCTATTTTATCCTTCTTTCTTGTAACTTTCAGGAAAATTGTACCATGACATTGGTCTCACGGTGGTTGTTGTATTTTACCTTTATCACAGCACAGACAGAAATAAAAAGGGAAGACACTTCTAAAACTCCGGAAAGACACACTAGGATAATAAAGTTGCTCCATCCCTTGTCCCCAGTCCTTCTCCAGCTCTCCTGGAGCCCCTTTAGGCACTGGAAGAGGCTCTGAGGTCCCCCTGGAGCCTTCTCCTCTCCAGGCTGGACACCCCCAGCTCTCCCTGTCACATATTCAGCCTTTTGTCACCTTTTGCTGTGGCATCTGGGCAGGACCCAGCACAAGGAGCCTCTTTCTTTCCTCTTACAGGTAGTAGCTTAAAGAGTTCAGCCAGAGAGCTTTCACTGCCACGTCTGTGAGTTCCTCAGGGGGCAGGTGGTGTTGCTGTCAAAATTACTCTTTTGGGCAGTAAAATGAGCGAAACGGGAACCAACCCTTCCTGTGTCTGAGCTTCCCTCTGCTGCCCCACTCTGCAGTATGTAATAATCCATCCTGACACCACGAGGCCTCTTTGATCTGGCAGGGTTTGGTTTAGCAGCTCTAATGGAGCTGCAGCCTGGAATGGATGTTTTCCCACCGTACCTTCCTTCCCAAAGCCTTTCTCCTTTTCTATCGTTTGCCGCGGCATCGGCAGTGCATCACTGGGAGAATGGAAAACAAATAAAGCACAAATATCATTTTGCTCTGCAGTGCAGCACTTCAGAAGAGACAGATTTCTGTGAGCCATTGGTTCTTTTAAAGTATAGTGTGTGCTGCGATGACAAATGTACAGCTTTGATGTTTCCTGCTCCGCTCGCCCGTGACATTGTAAATCAGTGTTTTGCTTTCTCGTACTCCATCATTATTAAACTTGGTGTAACTCTGGTTACAAGCTCCTGGAAACCACGTGTCTCACACTGCTCTCCTGTGTCCCAGGGGAATTATTGTGTTTGAAAACAGCAGCTACATTCTGGAGCCATTGGAAGGTGCTACAGGCGAACACAAGATCTACCGAGCGGAGAATCTGAGAGTAGCCCCGGGGTCTTGTGGCCACCAGCTGGACATCCCTGCCACGATGGCTGCAGCCACTGCCACGTCACAGCGTCCTCCAGCTGGCAGGGTAGGTGGCTGATGTGCTTTTCTGTGCTTGGTTGGCAGCATTTCCATATTGCTGCCCACCACAAGAGTCTCTACTGAGCAAAACTTTATCCCACACCATCGACTTCCCTCGGTGCCGTCTGCTGAAGTGCAGATGAAATTATTTGTTAAAGCTTTATTACTTTTCCTGGACTCTCCATGCATAACTTGCTTTTCACTTCCTTTTCAACACAGAAAAGTTTATGGGTTCATATTATGGTCATCTATTTTGGTTCTTGTATGGTTAGAACCAGAATTTGAGGCTCCCTGAGAATACTGAGTGATGTCTGGAAAAGTTCTTGCCCTCCCAAGATGAAAGAGAACATAATAGCTGGGATACTTTGCTAATACCAGGTTTGGAACCTCTGTATTTTAGTAGCAAAGTCTCTTATGCAGACAAAACAAATGCTCAGCATATTATTTTACAGCTGTATTATTGGAGTTGCTGTGATGTTGGCAGAAATGTACTTCATGTGAGATGCATTTACCTAATGGAAATTAGAAAATTAAATGAGCCAAAAACCAGGAAGAGGAAATGCTGTAACAAATTCATCTGCATGTTGGATGAGGGTTGTAGAAAAGGCTGGAATGTGTTCAGGAATTATATAATGATAAAAATCTGCCATCAGCATTTATTGAATGTCACATATGGGGATTTGTACTTGCATGTATGACTCAGGCTTTGCCTCAGGTCCGTTGTTAAGGAAAGCAACCTAAGTGACATCTCTAGATATAATTATGCAATGGAATTAATTTATTTTACGTTTTTAGGAATATTACATTCAGAGCATTAGTCTTTGCATGTAACATAAGAATTAAGTGTAATTCTAAAAGCATGCGTGGGTGGAACACATTGGAAATACAACTTTATTAAGTTTTCCCCAAATTATTTGTGACTTTGAATTCCACTGAAGTAGTCAGTGTAATGCAGAAATAAAATGTGTGCATGTAACAAATTGACACAATCAAAGCCATTTTATTATTACCCTTATGGTTCTTCCATTTTGCTGCTGGCTTCAACTGCATCTTAAATTTCACTTTAAATATCTGAACAATATTTTTGCTGTGGTTCAGTGGACATAATTATAAAACCTGTCAGCAGTCACATCATATGGATAGGTACAATATATTTAATGAGTAAGTTGGTTAAGCTTATAATGTAGGAATTTTGAAAGCTGTCAAATGTCATGTGTGCAGTGAGTTTTCATATTTCAGTGTTGTCACTAAGCAGTCTGTCAGTGGGCACGTCAAATAAAGATGACCTGCAAAGTGGGGAGACATAAAGCTGCTCCAAATCATGCTGGGTGACAGAATTAAGCAGAAATCTGGTCTAAGGTTCAGGGCATGATTAAAATATTTGACTTCTTGACAGGTCTGGGGGAAGATTTTTGTTTGGTTTTATCCCCTGACTCTCCACTCAGCCACCTACACGAAATTCTTATTGAGCAGAGCTGAAATGTGAGATCAATATATCACCAAGGGCTTTGGTTAGATGCAAGTGCAGGTGAAGGATGGGACAAGCAGCAGCCTCAGCTCCCCAGATCCAAACAGGAGCTCAGGGCAGGAGATGCAGAGATGTCACAGGCAGGCTGTGCCCTGCTGGAGCGGGGTCTCTGTGAGTGCTGGGTCATTCCCTGACTCACTAGACCCTCAAATTGCACCAAGGAGCATTTTCCAGCTGAGCTCCGTTGAGACAGGACCCTGCAGAATGTCTGGTGTGTAGGACCCTCCCTGCAGCAGGGAATTTTCTCTGTAGCCACAAGGAAAAAAATCCATTTTGGTGATGCTGGTGACCGGGAGCAGGGAGGGGATTTTTTAGGGCATGAGGAAAGAGAGGCTGCACCACTGCAGAATCCATCCAAGCCATGCTAATCCCCAGGCAGGGAATGCTGAGGAAGGGGTACAGCTGCTGGGACAGCAGGTTTGGGACAGCATCAGATGGGGAAGAAGCAGAGGAGAGAGACCATGGTCAGTGGAACAAAGCCCATTGTCCCCCAGCTCCCATGGCTGTGTCACTGACTCCTCATTTCAGTTGTGAAGGATTAACTCAGCAAAAGGGATTGTGCATTGATGCAGCTGGCTGCAGAGAGCAAGCTGAAAGAAGCCATAATTAGGTATATTTCATAAATAAATATTGTATCCTAGGAATTCACATAGCCTTTGGGCAAATCTCAGGAACAGATTTGTTATGCAAGTCAGTCACCAGAGCCTTATGTGATTTTTATGCCTGCTAGCCAATTTCTCTCCAGCTCACTCCAGTCCAAACAGTTTTACTCTTGGTAAGAGGGAAATGTTCTAAACTGTCTGATGTGACAGAGCTCTCCTTGCTCCTTTGAACTCAGATTTTCCTGTATCATCTTTTCTTCTTCACTCAGAGGAGGATGAGAGGCACCTTGAGATGCATCTCTTTGGGACCTCATAATAAATTTCAGGATGGGAGAGTTTTAGTGTCTGAGAGATTGATTCCATCTCAAACAGCAGCCACATGGCCATTTGCCTTTTGTGGCACCTCACTCGTGTCAGAGAGACATCACACCCCAGCACCAGAAGTTTTAAATCAATCTACCTCAGCTCATTTGCCAGAGCCACTAATCAGTGTCATCCTGTCAAGTGTTTGCATCCTTGGTGTTTAGTTCATTAACAGCAGCTTTCAATCCTCTCTCCATCCGAAATATGGTCCAAATGAAACTTTTTTTCAAGTTACTGGAGTTTGCAACACTACTAATTGTTAGGTTGAAAGTCAGATACTAAAGATTGCATCACTCACTTTTCCTCTAATTCTTGCAAAACATCAAAATCATTAATCTGCAGATAGTGAAGAGGAACAGTTTGATAATGTGAAGAAAACGTTGTGAAATCTGGCTGGAAGGAGATGTCCAGCTCTGGCTGTGCTTAGGGGATCTCTCCGTTTGCCCTGGAGCAGTTTTCCTTGGAAAGCTTTAGTCATGTTGTAGGTTAAAGAGCTTTGCTGCAGTTCAAGACATCATGGTCAGTTGTAGGTCAAACATCTGTTTGAGCCCTCTAAGTTCTGGCAGGAAGATCTGATACTCTGCTGAGACCTCTTTTCCCTAAATGTTCTAGTCCAGACACAAGGAAGGAATGATAGGATAGATGCTGCTGCTGCTGCTGTAAATCACAGAACTTTTACAGGCACTAATAGGTCATTTAAAATTAGGGTAGCAAAGGAGCTGTGACATGTTTTGTACTCCTACAAAATCATTTCTTCACTGATTTTTCAGTTTTTTCAGGTTTTTTTCCAGTTTTTTTCAGTTAAGCATTATGATTCTTTTAGATCTGCATTTTATATGAATATGCAGATACAGAATTAAATGCGTGCCTTTCATTTTTCAAGTATTAATTTGCTTCCCCAGACACTGATAGTTGCTTTTTTATTTTTGGGTTTTTCTTCCTACATAATTTATCAGTTGACTGCTTGACCTCTTCTCTGCTTCACTCAATATCCCTTTATCTCTCATTTTTCTCAGTAACCAGTTTGTCTATTGTGTGAAATGTTTGTTAGAAGTTCCTCATCTCTCCTTTAAAAGTGCCTCGGAAATAGCAAAGGGCTTTCTGCTGGAGGGGATATTCTCCTGTGAGGAAAGATAACTCAAACGTTTCAACTGCAGAAAGCTGAAAGGTTGAGAGAGACTTTGCACCACTCTCCTGCTTTCTGTGATCAAACCCTGAGAGGTTTTGTAAGGAAAACTTCCATGAGGAGGAGGAGGAAGACGCTGTAAATCTGCGTGTAGTAAAATCTTAGTAAAACGTAAGAAACCTGAGACACTGTGTGTTTCCTCTTGCAAGCACTTTGTTGTATCAGGGCAGAAAACAAAATAAGCCTTTCATGGTTTTTTTGACAGTACAAGAGGGAGGCTCTGAAGACAACGAAGTACGTGGAGCTTGTTATTGTGGCAGATAATCGTGAGGTAAGGAACTGCCAAATAAAAAGTTGTGTGAGCAGCAAAGGGGCAGCTCAGTGCAGTTACCATGGTGCTGCAAATAAGGTGCTTCAGACAAGAATATGATGTTTTCTGAGCTAAATCATCCTCCCTAATTAGGGTTGAGCAAGGAATGAATTATTAAGATAGGACAACAGTGATACTCAGTTGCAAAATTTCTTGTAATACCTCAGAAGGAGTTTGAAGTAACTCTGTCAGTATGGGAGAAGGGGCAAATAAATATTCATTCCTTGAGCAAGTTAAGTCCTCACTGCCACTCACAGTGCCCTCAGTGGGGCTGTCAGGGCTTCTGGAACAGTGCTTGGCCATCACATTCCGTGGAGCACGACTGCCTTCCTGAGGGTTTGCAAAGGGAGCTTCAAAGCACCCAGCACTGGCTGTAAAAATGTTCCAGTGAGCTGAATGGCAAAGATCTGAATCCTGGCTTGAATTATTTTGCTGCCTTTTTTTATTATTATTTTTTTTGGTCTCTTTGAACATTGCTACTTAGAGAGTTGCAATCACTCTTTGCAAGACCTGCTAAGAGAAGAACTATTTCCCAAAATATCAGTTCTGAAAAGACCCCTGTATAATACTTGGAGATTTTTTAAAATCTTCTCATGAGAACCAAAATCCTGTCCCACAGTCTGGATTTCTTTTGGGGCACACTGTGGATCCAGCAGAAGTCTGTTGGGGGATTTTGGCTGCACCCTAATTCCCAAAGATCCCTGATGTGCTGGCTCTTGGGGGGAAACTCTGGGACATTTGTGCTGCTGGTCCATTGATCCTTTATATTCCAAGTTTCAGAGACAAGGCAAAGATGTGGAAAAAATTAAGCAGAGGCTGATAGAAATTGCAAACTACGTTGATAAGGTAAGAACATGAGGATTGTTTCCCTCTTCCCAACCTTCCCTGTAGGATGCTGGGATGCTGAAGGAGCTAACCCTGCAGCTTTGCTGGTACTCCAGTGTTTCAGAGCAAAACTCCTGGAAAAGCAAATTTAAACCTTTCATTTGCCTTTTGATACACAAAGCCATGAGCACTGCTGTGCTGCATATGGGATGTAAAGATCTATTCCTAAGAAAAAGCCCAATTTAGCCCTAGGATTTTATTCACCAGGGAAGAGGGTGGGGATAATCACCTATAGAACATCCTATAGAAAAAAGAGGATTATTTTTAAGAGAAATTTGGAGAACAAAGTCATTTGTAAGGGAAGGTCCAATTGTAAAGCCAACAAAGGCCTGTGAAAACACAGATAATGAAATGTGTAATCCAAGGAAGATGGCAGAATTAAAAATCAGGAAGCAGAGTTGATGGCTGAGTGAGAGCAATAAGAGACAGACACACGCTGGATTTTTTTGGTCTTGAAATAATTCCTTGACAGTAAACAATAAAGTCTCTAGGAATGCTCTAGAGTGGTTTTTGAACAAATTAGAGTTTATTTTTGTTAGGTTGCATGACCAGAAAATATTAGGACTCTAGTAGTGAAATTATAACTGAGAGTGTCTTAATTTATCTGAGAACTTATCAAGTGATACTTCAAGGGCAGTAGCTCAAGGAGAAGAATTCCTGATTAAAAACAAGCTGCTGAAGACACCTCCACCTCATCCATAATTGTCTTGCTGACTTATTGCCAGAGGACAGGTGTTTATATGTTACCTGCTCAAAATTAATTTTGCATATTGTAATATATTTTTTGTTTCATGCTTAATTTATGCTCAGCAAACGCTGGTGTTGTGCAAATGTCTGGAATGCATGGAAACAAGACAAAGATCTACTGGGTGCTTTCCTCAGCCTGTCAGGCAAATCTGGACTTGATCAACCCCTGACTCCTTCCTCACATTACTCTCACATTAGAATTGTTGTCGTGGCTCTGCTGATGTTGCTCTGGCTCCTCTCTTGAGGCAAAATGGCATTTTCTGGTGGGGGAATAGATAAAATCACTGGGGTTTATCTGCTCTGTGCAAGGCTTGATGAGCCTGGCTCGTTTTCAGCTGTTACTGTGAACCACAACCATAGCACAGCCCAGTTCCTCTGCCTCTGGGATAGGATCTGTGCAATCCAGGGTGGGGCAGCCCTGGGAGACTCATCTGCCATGGTCTGGAGTTCCTTCAGAGCTGAAGGACATGGGCAGGGAGTTCAGGGTTGGGTAGGACAGAGTCTCTTTGAATGCCTGATGGGTATTGAGTTGGGTCAGAACTGTTTCCTGGGAGTCTTGGAAATATTTTGTCTGAGTTCTGTCAGGTGTTTTGCCCTGAAGAAGAAGTTGTTTTAACCTCTACAAGAAAAGCTCGTTATGTTTTTGTTGAAATATTCTAGTCTGAAATATTTTTAGACATATATTTCCTACTTTTCTCTTCTCTTTAGTTCTACAGGCCACTAAACATCCGAGTGGCCCTGGTGGGAGTGGAGGTGTGGAATGACATGGATAAGTGCTCCATTTCCCAGGACCCTTTCACCAGCCTGCATGAGTTCCTGGACTGGAGAAAGCTCAAACTCCTGCCTCGGAAAGCCCACGACAATGCACAGCTGATCAGGTAGGCTGGACTCTGCATTTGATACCCACCAGGATTTTGGGGATTTCAGGATAGCTGTGCTGAGTCCTTCCCCAGCTGCTAAGCTCTTGGAAGGTACATCTGTGTTCCTGAGGGTTTGCCTGTCCCCTCTGCAAACATCAAACCCAAATTCACTCTGCAGGGCCCTGCAGCAGATGCTCCAGGTGAGTTTGCTCTCCCAGCCCTGGTGCTCAAAGCCTGTCCTGAGTACAGCTTGTGTAGAGCAGGAGGTTGTAATCAGCTGCTGCATGCTCAGGGTGTGAATTTACAACCAGTTTAAACTGCTCTCAGTCTGATTTGTCAGTGGAAAAGGCAGTCCTGCTCTGACCCTAAGTGAAGCCTATTTCTTGATGAAAAGACCTCAGTATGCTTTAAAATGCTGTCTGATTTAGACAATTCATTTGCATTCATGATTTAAAAATTAAACCATAAACATATTTTACCCTGCTGATTTATCTTGGAATAAGGAATTGAGTAAAGGTCCCTGTCAACCCAAACCAGTCTGTGGTTCTGTAAAAGTAAAAGCACTCTAAAAAACAAAAGGTAAGAGGAATACCTCTTTGTTGAATAGGTATTATTTTGATCAATTGGCTATTCCTTATACTGAGCAGATAAACACAACTGATGTCTCAGTAATTAAAAGGAGTTATTTACTTCTTACATTACCTGAATGAGAATAAATTGAGCCTTTCCAAACTGTCCCCCCTGAGATATTCGATTGCTCTATATGTATAATAACACTTGGTGTGAAATTATTACATTCAAGGCTGTGCATCATCACAAGTAGCACATAAACTTCCCCCTGCATTGCAACAACCCTTCTTTGAGTTACAGACATCATTTTTATGTTTGTACTCCTGTTCCCCACTTCAGAAACAAAGGAAAGGAAGAAGGGTCCTGTTGCAGCAGTAAAAACTAAGGAGGGTGATCCAGTGGGAGTGATCCAGTGGGAGTGACCCAATGGGGGTGATCCATTGGGAGTGATCAAATGAGGGTGATCCATTGGGAGTGACCCAATGGAGGTGATCCATTGGGGGTGATCCATTGGGAGTGACCCAATGGGGGTGATCCATTGGGGGTGATCCATTGGGAGTGACCCAATGGGGGTGATCCATTGGGGGTGATCCATTGGGAGTGATCAAATGAGGGTGATCCCTTGGGAGTGACCCAATGGGGGTGATCCGTTGGGGATGATCCAATAAGGGTGATCCATTGGAGTGATCCAGTGAGGGTGATTCATTGGGTTAATCCAATGGGAGTGATCCATTGGGGGTGATCCATTGGGAGTGATCCGGTGGGAGTGACCCATTGGGGGTGACCCACTGAGGGTGATCCAGTGAGGGTGATCCAATGGGGATGATCCAATGGGGATGCTCCATTGGGGGTGTCCCCATGGATGTTCCAAGAGCTGGGACACCGTGGCTCAGTTCAGCTGAGGCAGCACAGCCCATCTGGGCTTTCCTTTGCTTTAGAGCTGCAGATGAGAGGGGCAGAAAGGGGGCCTTTGTTTGAGGGTGGCAGGAGCCCAGAGCTGGGAAGGACAGGGCGTTATCTTGGCACTGACTGGTGGCTCTGTCTCCTCTCCCCCTCCTGCAGCGGGGTGTACTTCCAGGGGACGACCATTGGCATGGCTCCCATCATGAGCATGTGCACAGCAGAGCAGTCTGGAGGGGTCGTCATGGTAAGTGGGGCAAGCTCTCAGCCACTCGGGCTGGCCCAGCTGGGGTGACACCACACCAGGACCTCCTGAACCAGCCCCATCTGGCCCATTTTCCTTCTCTCTGTCGTTCATATCCCCCTTCAGATTGCTTGTAAATGATAGTTTCCATAGTGAAAAAAACCAAAATATTGCATTAAAATATAGCAGGGCCTCTTTGCAAGGAGTTTATTCCTCTGATTGTTTTTGAACCAGGTGCTGAGGTGCTGCGAAGGAAGAGAACCAGAAGATGTATTTGTTATACACTAGAGTATACTTGTGTTACAGGCAGCAGCAGTCTATCCTGAATCTTTTATTATATTGATTTTATTCTGTATTTATAGAGTTTCCTGTGTTAGGCCTTATTTTCCATCTTTGCAGCAGTGGTTTTATTGCATTGCCAGACAGAGAGAACAAACAATGGCAGCATTTATTCCAGCTGAGTCTCTCCCAGGGCATTACTGTTGTTGTTAGATGCAAGACATGGTGAACACACAAGCAAACATCTTGTCCAATCTCTGGAAGGAGTTCTGCTGTATTTTCTTTTCTGATTTTTTCTTTTTTTAAATTTCAGTTTTGCAGTGTTTTGTGCTAAGACGGAGGGAGTAAGCTTTAAACTAGAACAATCAAATCACATAATTTGGGAAAAGTTGTGTCAAAGTTGTAGAAAAGACAAAGGTTTCAGGCTCTTGATAGCTTGAGTCTGTAATTGGTGTCTGTAACAATTAATCACTGGGTACCTGGGGGACAGGTACAAAAGGAAAGGGAGGAAAAAAGGAAGAAAGCTGTAGGAGTGTCCCAGTGGACTCCCAAGTCTTGGTAAAGGCACAGATGAGGCAGAGAGCCCCATTTTACCCATTTGACTCAGCCCTGCAGTCACTGCTTTGGCTTTATCTGCAGTCAGAGATGCCCTTAATGATGACTTTTTGTCCTTTTTAATTTTTAGCATAAGATTGAAAACACTCCACAGTGTAATTTACAGCCAAGTCAGTTCTCTTTGCTCTGGAAGCTGTCATTTTAAAGAGAAATAATTACAAATAGTTCATTCCAGTAACAAGAAAACAAAAATCAGCATTTCTTTAGAACATTCCCATGGAGAGGGGACTGATTTATATGTCCAGGAGAAACCCAGGCTCTGTGGAAGAGTCCTGGGCCAGAATGAATCTCCTGCCATGAAGGGGAGCATGATGTTACCCAGAGACTCAGTGAATTTAAGCTTTTGAGGTGCAAATTAAATTGCAACTTGCACAGAATAACCAGAAATGTTCTGTGGCTCTTTAAACAAATACTCAAAATGAAGCCAAATCCAAATGAAGCAAACACTCACCCCAAAACCCAAAAGGGCAGCTGCTCAACCATCCCCTGAGTTGGCAAAGGCTGATTCAGGCACAGACTAAACATATTTCTATTTATTGGTACCTGTACCCTGGCACAGCTGCCCAGGAGGGATTTAAAACCCTCTGGAGGTGGCACTTGGGGACATGGGGCAGTGGTGGCCTTGGCAGTGCTGGGGCGTGGTTGGACTCCATGATCTTGAAGGTCTTTTCCACCTAAAAGATTCTGTGATTCTATGAAAGAATGAATCACTCTCAGCCTGGGAAGGTCAGGGGCTCAGGTGTCTCGACACTGCACAAATGAATATTTGGCCAACCTCATAATTCAGCCAGTTTCTCATCCATCCCACCCCCAGCGCTCAACACCAAAAGCTCCCACACTTTAAAACCTGTTCTGGAAGAGAAGACAATGAGAGACTGCGTCAGAAATGACATTTGAATACAAAATCTGGAGTGACTCTTGTCTGATGTGATTTTCCTGGTTCTTTTTGCAGTTAGTCAGCTCTACTGTATGATGTAAATTCCTCTGTCATGCCTCCCTGGGAGCCTGCCTGTCTCTTTTCTATAGGGCTGAGCTCTCTCAGTGGGTGACACCCTGTCTGCCATTAATTTGCAGAGGAACTCAAAGCAGGGAGAGCAGCCATGTGAGTGTGAGGAGCTTTAACAAGACCTTTATCATTTCATTTCCCTGTGAAGTTTCTGTAGTGTCACAGAAAAACCAAAGAGAAGTTGACATTAAAGCAAGTCTTTGACGTGATTCAGTCTTCATTCTTCTGTTTCCAAAGGTTGCCCACTGAATTCATGGATTTAAAAGTAAAATATTTCTGAGAGAAGAGGAAAGTGACTTTTTATCTGGGCAGATGGTGATGGGGCAAGGGAGAAGGGTTTTAAACTTACAGAGGAGGGACTTAGATTGGATATTAGGAGGAAATTGTCCCCTGTGAGGGTGGGCAACCCTGGCACAGGGTGCCCAGAGCAGCTGTGGCTGCCCCTGGATCCCTGGCAGTGCCCAAAGCCAGGCTGGACAGGGCTTGGAGCACCTGGGACAGGGGAAGGTGGGGTTGGGACTGGATGATTTTTGAGGTCTCTTCCAATTCAAACCATTCTGTGACTCCATGAACCGAGTGAACATACTGAAAATACCAGGAGCAGGGCATTTGCCTGTTGGAGCTGTAGGTGACAGCATTTAATGATTAGGATTTGATTTAAATCCCAGCGGAATGAAGCAGAATTCAGCTGAAAGCAGCTGCATGTTTTGTGCAACAGCTTATAATGCCTTAACAGTAGATGGTTGCTTATTCAGTGGTTGTGAAATGTGTTTGGTAATGACTTTTACTGCTCAAGTTAACTTTGAAGGACCCTGGTGGAATAAATCAAAGTCACATTGCTATTCATTTCTTTAGTCCTTGTGATTCTTAAACGGTCTCGGTATCAAATGGAACATGTCACTGTTTGTTTTGATAATCTTCATTTATGCTGTCTTCAAATAACCTCTTTTGCTGAGGCATCACATTCCTCCTTCTAAAAACCCTCTCTAGAAGCTGATAAAATTGCATTCCAAGTGGATCTGAGCAAGTAATGAGAACCGCATGGGCCAGAATAATTGTTTGCCTTTTCAAGTCCCAAATTACATTTCACATCATTTATTGCTCCACTTCTGGAGTGGACTGTGTGAATCCTTATTTTTAGTTTTAGTTGACAGCTTCAGAGTATTCAGAGAAATATAATCACTGCTCAGTAAGTGGAGGAGATACTGGAAAAATAAAGAAAGTCTGAGCTCAATTTGCTGTGTGTCTGTAGCTCAGTGAGGAGTTTCTGCCTTGACCAAATAGCCTGAATTTCAAGGCATCATCCAGTGAGTCAGTGGCAAATTATATGGAATTATTTTGCTGTTTTCTTAATCTTCAGCCCTGCACTTTTTTCCATTTGAGTGAGAGGTTGTGCTCTTTTTCTGACATCAGGTTCAATTACACTGAATTCTCTAAGTATTCCATCAATTACTGTTGCACGAAGATAAATCCATCTGTGTCAGACCAGTACCTAGATAAGATATCTCATTATGTAGGTGTTGTGCAGGACAAACTGCACATAAACTGCCTGTCACAAGATTTTTATATCAAGATTTTAAAATTCAGGAATTTTTTTTTTAGTGAGAGATTTTGTGAACAGATAGAACTATTTTGAGTTTGTTCCAGTTACAGAAGGAACATTTTGACTTGTGCAGAATGACTGTGTTCTCTTCTAGATTTTGTTTGCTATTTGAGAAATTATTTACTAAAAATATTAGCCCAGACAGATGAAAGAAGAAACTCTTAAATCTACCCCAAGTCATGTACTAAGTCCTCCATTAGTACATAGATAATGTTTTAGACAGTTTTACCTTTCGCTTCTTTTTTGTCTGGAGTTTGGCTTAGATGATGCTGAAAGAGTTATTTAAAGTGAATATATTCATGCACGCTTCTAGAGCAGGCAGCTGTACACAGTAATTCCATTTACTGACTGATAAATAGTGGATCATGCATTTATATTACATGTTTATGCCTTCAGGGAAAGCTTTCTTACAAGTGTAGTGGATTTTTTTTCCCTCAAGGAAAATGATCAGTGTGGAAAGGTCTCTTACTTGTGGTTAAGCCAAAACATCATTCTGATCAGCAGCCTGTACTCAAATCATGCAGTGAATTTCTCAGAAATGATTGTCCCAAAAATCAGCATTTAAACATGGATTAATGTTAACATTTCAAATTGACACTTTCAACATTTAGAGCATTTATAGGTTAATAAGAGGCCATGGAAGATTTTGGCTTGCTTTGGCCTTTCATTTTAAAAAGGAGATTTTTAAAGGTTCTTGGTTTTTTCTTAAAAGGCTTGTGAAATCTTGGACATTTTGATATTAAAGAAACAGTCTGAAGCAAGTTAAATAGACTGAGTGAAATCTCTTGCTGCATTTTTAATTTGCCTCCTGACATGAAGGACTTCTCACTTCTCCCTCACCACACTCATCCTCACCCCTACATTATTGCCCTTTCCTACACTCCATGTCTGGTGACCTCTCTCTGCCACTGCTGGCACTTGGGGGTTTGGGGGATTTCTTCAACAGCAGAATTTTAAGCCCCAATAAAGAGATGTTCACAGCTGCTCAATGGTTTCAAATGTCCAATGGGAAAACTGGGTGGCCAGGAAGGCTGTCCTGAAATTCCCACTCTGCCCTATACAGGGATGAATTTAAACTTGAGTTTATTTAACAACAGAGTCACTTCAGCTGCTAAACTTATAAAACATGTCAAAGGACAGGCAGTAGGACCTTAGAGGGGGAATGTGTGCCTCGAGTTGGGTTTGGATGCTGAGCTGACTGGTTCTCCTGTGGATTTTGTTTTGAAGGATCACTCAGAAAACCCTCTGGGTGCAGCAGTGACGCTGGCTCATGAGCTGGGGCACAATTTTGGGATGAATCACGACACACTGGAGAGGGGCTGCAACTGCAAAGCTTCCACTGATAAAGGGGGCTGCATCATGAACCCCTCCACTGGGTAAGTGCCAGGCTCAGGCTGGCGTGCTGCACAAGCTACAGTGGGACAGCTGTGGCTTCATTTTGTGCCTCAGGAACATTGAAAGGTAAAACAGAAAAGGTTTTTCAACACACGTTAAATCTTGTTGCAGTTGTCCTCTTCAAGGTGAAAAAACTAAATGTTATCAGAGCACATGTACTATTGCACCTTTCTGTTTCCAGGTTAGCAATGTGAGAGACAAAAATGCTATAAGAAACTGGGTAATTTAAAAAAAAAAACAAACCAATCCACAGCCAAACTACACTGCAAGTGTTAAATCAGAATTTCACCTCCTCTCATCTTGCCAGCTGAGCATCAGTCACAATAGGAAATGAGCCAAGACTGAGATGAGTGGGTAGGAAATTCAGTAATGCAGGAAATGCACTCTTAGGCTCTCTGCAAACTCTTTGTCTCGTGCAGAGCAGGTTTTTAGTTCTGCACAAACTTTTGTTGCAAGTGTAAAGCACTTTTAGCTGGTGAGAAAATGAAATCTGCAAGGTCGGTGGGATTAAGGCTGTTCTGTGTCCAGAGGGAGATCTTCCAAGAAAAGAGAGCAGAAATGTGGGAAATACAAACCAGTGAGCCTGTGGTCACTTTGGTGGGTGCAGGGCCAGCAGCTGGACTCACTGATCCTGGTGGGTCCCTTCCAGCTCAGGAAATTCCCTGGTTCCCTGTCAGAACTGAGGGGAGGCTCTGCTGCTGGCAAAGGCACAAGAGCGTTTTGTAGACACAAATTTCAGGCACCCTGGGCAGAGTGAGCTGTCACTGCTTGCAGGGATGTGTTCTAAATTCCTGTTGAAACTGAAGGATATGAGGAATGAGTTCTCCATGTCCATGCTCAGACTAGGACTGAGAGGATTAAATTGAAGTAAGATTTGCCAGTTAAACTGCCTGTGACTGGAATCCAGTAAGAACCAGTGGGGCAAAGATCTGCCAGCAGTGTAGGTACAGCTGGGTGTGCCTTAGGACAAGAGGATGGTCTGGATGTCCTCTGATGTCCCTTCCAGCTCCAGCGTTCTCTCTGTGTGCTTAAAGTTCATCTGTTGCTTAAAAACCTCTTCTGGGAACTGTGATCAGCTCTCCCTCTGCCTTTTCCAAGACTGCAGGTTTCTGGGAAAGAAGGGGAGCAATGTGGGAGAGGCCAGGGAGGGCTGGGCAGGGTTGTTGCCTGCTGGTCAGCCCAACAGCAGCCTTGGAATTCCTTCAAAGGCAGAGCTGTCACCCTCCATGGGGGCAGGAATCAGGGCCGTGGCCAGAGGCCAAGCACAGCAAGTTGAGAGACAAACAAAAGAGTTGTGAGAGTGGAGGAGAATGAGAGGGATTTCTGCAGTCTGGGAAAGAAAAATAACTCAGCTCTTCTGAGACAACGGGTGGTAATCATCCCCGTGGAATTCATCCTGCACAGGTCAGGGCTCTGCCACACTGTGGGGACAGAGTGACCTGGGAGAGGGCTCTGAGCTGAGCTGAGCTGAGCTGAGCCTGGGCAGGCAGGGCTGGGCTCTGAGCTGAGCCTGGGCAGGCAGGGCTGGGCTCTGAGCTGAGCCTGGGCAGGCAGGGCTGGGCTCTGAGCTGAGCTGAGCCTGGGCAGGCAGGGCAGGGCTCTGAGCTGAGCCTGGGCAGGCAGGGTTGGGCTCTGGGCTGGGCACTGGGCTCTGAGCTCCTCAAGGAAACATTCCAGCTTGTGTCAGCTCAGCTGAGTTACTGGTTCTGCACCCAGCTGCTCCACTTGGCAGTAAACACAGGGATGCTCTCAGGACAGAGATTTCTGGACACTTTCTGAATGCCTCTGGTGACAGGGACATTCAGTAGCTCCTTCCTCATTCTTCCTTCACGCTGGAGTCCTCTGGGTGTGTCTGACCCTGTCCTGGCTGCTGGATGTGCCAGACCCTGGGCTTGGCTGGCTCAGGGCAAGGTCAGAGCAAGGCTGTGCCCACCCAGGGTTCCTCAGGATATGAGGAGTTGGATATCCCATTCCTCATCCCAAGCTGCTCAGCTCCCTCACTTTGGGGTTTCTGCAGAACCTTCCAGGCTGAAGGCTCTGCCCACCCCCAGCACCCCACAGCTCTGAGGGATTTTCACATCCTCCTCCTTGGATTTTCACCAAACTCTGCATTCAGCTTGTGCCTGAGGAGGAGCCATGGCCCCACAGCCCTGAGCAGGCTGATTGCTGGCGCTGATTATTGATTCAGAAATGGAAACTTCAACTTCGGGTCTATAGCCTTGGGCTTTATCTGCACACCGTGCTGTCAATCTGTGACAAATATTCCTGGAGAACACTTCATGCCTTGAGCCAAGCTGCATCTCACCCATTTCAAATTAACACTTTGAATATTTAATTACCCAACGTTTCTCACCAATAGCAATATTCCCTCAAGCACCATTATTGAAAGAACACTGAAAAGTTTTCTTCTCTGGAAGTGCTTCTCTGTTAAGGGAAGGCCAAATGAATGTTCCTTATCTCAAATGCACTCTGGAAATAGCCAAAAAATCAAAACTGAGAGCATCCCATGTCCATTTAGAGAGACAGCCTGCTCTCAGTGTACTCACTGCACTGCCTCTGTGCTTTTCTAAATGGTTTCAGGTAGATTTAATGAGTGGAATAAAAAAAATCTAGCTGAAGTTGATGTAAAAAGCACTGAGAAGTCCTTATCTGATGTCTACAAAAAATAGGAAATATCTAAGTTATAGCAGAAAGGCCTCTGTGAATTTAACTTTGGAGTCACTGGTGTGGTCGTGCACAAATGGGAATGTTTTAAGGCTGTTGACTTAAAAGGGATTTCATCAATTATCGTAATTTCTTTCAGTTCTTCTGTTTCAATCTTTGAAGAGGTCTTGGAAATTTTGTCTTGGTGGGAAAAAACCTCCAGGGATCAGGGTGGAATTTAAACTCTGTTGGATCTGTCCTTTAATCAGCTCCCTGTAGTTTTTATTCTTAAAAGATACCAGCAGGATGAGCACCAGTTGTGTGTGAGCTACAAATGTCTAAAGAACTACTGCTTCAGCAAAATGTATTTTTTCTAACATGGAATCAAGCACAAAACCCCATGAATTTGTGTCAGGACAGGACTCTGAGAGATTCAAATATCTGCTATGAAAATCACAGAAATCCTTGTGTAGAAACAGGGGTGGTTCCTATAAAAATACTATCAATAAGGAGTATTTAGTACTAAGATTAGTATTTAGTACTACAGATTATTAATATTTAAATATATTTAAATCATAATTTATATAAATTTCATATTATATATTTCTATCCATTTCATATTGATACTAATCATATCAGTAAGGAATATTTAATACACATTCTCCTTTTTTAATGCATCTGTTATAATTATATTCCTCTAGTTTTTTAATTGTCTTGTACATGGACAGTTGCAAGTGACAAAGATTGAATATTAGAGAGATTTGTGAATCTTTTTCCTGAGATCTTATTATCTGGAAACTAAGGGACTGGGCTGAGCCAGTGAGGCCACTTCAGTATTCCACTTTTTTTTCCAAATATCTCCCTAAAGTGTTGCCTATTAGGAGTGAAAATATTCCTCCTGCCAGGCAGAAAAATACCCAAGAGTTCTGGTGCAGCCCAAGGCATTGGGCTGGATTTCTACCCTTGCAAATGTGAGCAGAATTTAGCACTGCAGAGCAGAATGCTCCCAATTAGCAGTGCTTGTTTATTTAATAATTTTGGAAATGCAATTTTTACATGTCCTTCTTCATCAAAATTGAGCACAGGGGTTTCCATGTTTCCATGGGGTTTGAAGCCAGGTGAGCTCCCACTAAGAAGCTGAAATATTGACTTCAAATATGTCTGAGATTTTTTTGCCAGCCTTAAGGGAAGAAAAATTTTGATAGCTGGTGTTCTCCCCTCCTGTAAACTCAAGGGTTGAACTTCCCCTCTCCCACCTTCCTGTGTCCTTGAGTGCTGTGCTCTTTTGGCTTCCACACAGGAGATCCACAGAGGGAACTTGTCTGCAGGGAAATTTGCCCTTCCCTGCCTCCCAGAGGGAGTGCTCCTTGATGCCTTTCCCTTTCCTCTTGCTGGGTGAGGTTGATGAGAGCAGGAATCCTCCCAGGATGGGCAGTTTCACCAAGCCCATTCAGATGCTGATCCTGCAGTTGTTCTTTCCCTTTGGGATGCCCAATACCTGCAGTAAAATCCACTTTCACTGTTCCCTGGTGGAAGTATTTTCTCTTCCCAGGTTCATTTCTTGTTGCTGGATCATCCCAGCCAGGGCTGGTGGAAAGGTTCCCAGGACAGAGCCGTGTGTTCCATCTCTCTTTGCCTTCCCACAGACACAAGGTGGTGGAAAATGGGGAAAGGGCTGCTTTGGGGTGTTCCCCTCCAATCCCCCTTGCACCTGGGTATGGGAGTGGTGGAGATTTTCTCAGGTCTGTCCTGCTGCCCTACACCCCATTGCTTCCTCTGTACATTCATTATGAGATGGAACACCTCACGTTGATCTGGGAGGTTCTCCTCAAAGCCCACGATGGAGGAAAGATTAAATAAATGCAAAATAATTTAAAATACTCAGGAAAATATAAATTCTGTACGGGCTATTGTTTCAAGACATGTAATGAGTGTAAATAGTCAAGAATTGGAAAATCTGATGTGTGAGAGAGCATGGCTATTGATATCTGCTTAACAGACTTCTGAATGAAAGAACATCTCTTGGGAAACACTTATTTTAATCTAGGTCCCTAGCAGACCTGGCTTTTCTGTTTTCCAAGAGTTCCAAGGCATATTCTGATTTGCACCCCTTGGTGACACACAGGAAGGAGGAAGCAGCTTCTTTAGGATAATTCCCCTCCCAACAACTCCCCTTTGTCTTGTTCCTTCTGTGTGATGCTCCTGTGGAAAAGTCAAGAATGAACTGAGCCCCTCTGCCTGCCTTTCCCTCCCCTGTTCTTATCTTCAATCTTGTGTTCCCATTTCCAATTTTCACAGCTGGGATTTAAAGTCGCTCTGTTTCTCTCTCAGATTTTAA